TCAAAAAAAAAAGATTCAGGTTTTTGCTACAGGGCATGTGTACTCACTGGAAAGAGACAGAGAAAAATAGAGAAGGAAAGTAAGAAATCAACCCCCAAAGGGGACGGCCGCACCACAATCCCTTCTTCTTTCTCTTTTTGAGATGTTGGGCATGTATGCACATGTGCCCGGTGTGATTTTCAAGCTGCCAGGTCTGGGGCTGGAACCACAGTCCGCCATGTGAAATTGAGCACCTTAACCGCCATGGCACCTGCTGGCTCAGGAGTGGGGCTTAGTAAGCAGACGTGTGGCATGCTGAGAGGGACATCTTGGAGAGACGGCTATGGCTGAAGAGTGGACAGGAGGGCGCCAGGCCTGGGAGCGCTAGAGAAGGCTATCGACGTGATTCAGGGAAGTGGAAGTCATAGCTTGGGTCAGGGAGCAGAAGAGGCGATAGGGAAGAGGAGCAGGTGGGTGACGTTAACAGCTAGGACTGGGGCCAGCTCCACGGTGCAGTGGTTAAAGGACAGGTCCCGAATGACCGGTGAGGTGGTTTAATCCTGGCCCCACAGGCTTGGAAAACACGCTGGGCACAAGTATGTACCTGCCCCAAATCCCGACAGAGTGGAAGAACGGAGAAAGGTTATGGCCGGTCACACTCCAAGGGGGGAGGTGCTTGTTCTGGCCCCTCCACACCCCCATTTCTCTCTGCCGCGTACACATGCCCTCTGGCAATTAAAAAATAGGAAAAGACCCTGCTAGGATGCTTGTCTCTATCTGTTTTTATCACTCATGAAAAAATAAATAAACTTAAAATAAAAAAAAAAATGGCCCTGGAACCAGCAGTTAGCCTAATGGCTATGTCGCTGGACTCCCACGTAGTCGACCGCGGTTTATGTCCCGGAACCGGCGGCTTAAAACTCACGCCGGGGGGCTTGTGTGTCCTGAGAGGAGGATGGAGAAGGGATTGTGGGGTGGTCATCCCTCCTGGGGGGTGATTTCTTGCTTTCTGTCTCTCTGTCTCTCTCTGTCTTTCTAGAGAGCACACGCACCCTGTAGAAAAACCTCTCTGAAAAAAGAAAAAAAAAAAAAAGATTGGCCCCGTGGTCTGGTGGTTAGGAACGCTGGATCTTGTATGGCTGACCTGCAGTTCAAATCCCTGCCCCAGAGGCTTGAAAAACACGCTAGGCACAAGTGAAAGTGTGCCCCAAATCCCAACAGGGTGGCGGTGTGGCATGACTATGCCCATTGTGGGGGTACTTTCTCCCCCTCCCTTTCCCTCTGTCTCTGTGTCTCTTGCTGGCAAACACACATACTCTCTGGCAAAAAATAAATAAATAAAAAAGAAAAGAAAGAAAAAAAAAGTTAGGCCATGGGCTAGGAATCAGGGATGGTGGTAAGCCACAGGATGGGAGTCCCAGAACTCACGTGGAAACTGTGGACCTTCCTCTGATCCCTCTTCCACTCCTTGGCCTCTCTGGTAGAGCTAATTTAACCTTCCATGTGCTTTCCTTGCTTCCCATCAGTCCGAGGGCTCCAGAGGGCCAGGCCCTGCCTTCTGTGCTGCCTGCCCAACATCCCCCAGGGCCTGCAGGTGCACAACCACTGCCCCCACCCCCACCACTCCCGCCTCGCCAGGGCTGTCTATAGCTTCAGCCACAGACAGGCAGGCGTTCCCCAGAGTGGCCCCTGGAGGAGGGTGAAGGGAGGTGGAGAGGATCTGCAGACCGAGCTGAGTCTGAGGCTCTGGCCTTCCCCCATGGCCCTGCATAGGGGAGGCATGGCCGGGGAACACAGCCAGGGCGACAGACAGGCTGCTTGGACTGTCGTCCTGCAGAGTTCTCACCTGAAAGTGCTGAGGCTTTGAGGACAGGGCCCTTTGCTCGGGGGAGCTGGGAACCAGCAGCTTCTGCCTAGCCGCCTCTCTCATGGTTAAGCCCAGGAGGTCTTCATCCCCTAGGAAACAGTCCAGGTGGGCTCAGGAGCTTCAGGGCATTTACCCTACTTGCTGTTCTGTCCCGTGACCAACTGCTAACTAAAAGCACATGTCTTCCCTCAAGCATTCTGCCAGCCCCTCCCACCCTCAATCTATGGAGCCTGGGCCCCGTTTGCCACATAAGGGGGCTCTTGGAAATGGCCATCCTTGCCTTGCTCTGCAGCCATCAGAGGCTGGGTCTTGTGCCTAGAGAAGATGAGTGGATACTTGGGTTCACTCCTCAGACGTCTGGAGCTCCAGCCTCCAGGTCCCTGGAGCTTTGGGGACCCTAACCTGGTCATGCTCCTTCTGTGGGCCTCAAGGGATGGGTCTTGATGGTCCCAAAGAGCCTGCCCAGCTGTCTTGGAGAAGGGCAATGGCAAGCACCAGGGAAGGATGTACCTGTTTTCTCAATATCCTTCTTGGTCATAAGGGCCACCTGCAGGGTGACAGTACACTACAAGGCAAGGGCAGAGTGTGTGAGTCTTACCCTGGTAAGAACTGGTAAGACAAAAGCAATGGTTTGTGGTGGTTAAAGATTTGGAAAATAAAGGAGGTAGTTTCAGAAGAGGGTGCAAGAGGAAGGGAGGAGAGGGAGAGGTGTCTTGGGAGCATTCTAGAACCACGGACAACTAACAGTTCCTTCCCTTACCCAGCATCTCATGACCTTATATGGGAACTCGGGCAAATGTCTAAACTGAACTCCTGCTTCCCATCTAGCCTCCAGACCACCACCAGGACTGGCCCCCAGATACCCATGAAGTACCCTAAACAGTCAGAGTAAAGTCACGACTCCTGGCACATCTGGCCCCCAGCCGCCCACCCAGCCTCAGATCTCTACCCACCATGGGCAAGGAATATAGGCTGCCTACCCTCCCTGGATCTGTTGGGCTGCCTTGTTCTTCATGTACTTTGTGCCCTGTTCAGTATGCTCATGTCCTTCCTTAAAATTCATCTGAGGGACCAGCAGATGGCATAATGGTTACATTGCTGGACTCCCATGTAGTCAACTGAGGTTCGAGTCCCGGTTAAAACTCATGCCGGGTGCATGTGCATGTGTGCCCAAGATCCCGAGAGAATGGAGAAGGGATTGCGGCATGGCCATCCCCCTGAGGGGTGATTTCTCACTTTCTATCTCTCTGTCTCTCTGGTGAATGCATGCACCCTATAGCAAAAATCTCTCTTAAAACATTTTTTTAAAAAGACTCATCTGAGAGGCTGGATATACAAATGGACAGTGACAGACCACTTAAAAACTGGAACTCTGACACATGATCTATGCAACCAATCCAGGAAATCAACACACTCTTTAGAGTCACCAGCCCAGGAAGTCAGCCTGCTGTAAGTCAGACTTGTTGGAAATCAGACCACTTTTTCCAGCAACAATGCAGGAAGCCAAACAAAATAACAATTAGTAACAGTCAGTGAGGTCTTAACTTGTTCTCACTCCGTTGCTCTTGTTTATTCCCACATGTCTTAAACATCACCTGCTCTGGAAAAATGGCCGTTACCTCCTAAGCAGAATCATTCACTCTGTCCCGACCTCAGTGGTCTAGTTTTGCTGAACATTGTATAATGTGTGCTGGAGTGCTTGCCTCTGGGGAGGTGCCTCCTCCAACAGACTTCATTCCACTATTTATCCCATCTCTTAGCCCTGTGGTTGACTCCCAGGGGAAGGGCAGTTAACTCATCCAAATAGATGAATGGAAGAGTGGGTAGCCTGATGGGTGGCAGGCTGGGACATCAAGAAGGCATGGTGGTGTGATATTCCCCAAGGGCAGGAAGTCCTCCCTCAGGCTTGGGCCCTAGTCTCCCTCTGGAGTAGAGAAGCTCAGCTTCACCAGTTGCCCCCAATCCTCCAGCTACCCTGCATGAGCCTTGTTGGGCCTGACTCACGTCTGTGGATGTCATGGAATGGTTGAGCAGGGTCAGATCCTTCACGAAAAGGACCTCACTTGGTTGTTTCACCAACGGCTTGAGCGGTATTGTGGCCAGGCCAATGAACCTGGGGAGATGAGGAGCAGTGTGAGATTCTGAGCCAGGGTCAAAGTGTCTTTCTCTGAGCCTGGCGTAGCTTTAGCTAGACGTGTTCCCCCCTCCCCCACCCATGGCTATGCTGTCCACAGAGAGGCTGAAGAATAATGCAGTGATGGGGAGGTACATCCACAGGGGGGGTCCAGGGCTCTTGTCTGTGGCTCCCAGGGCAAGTACAACTGATTAGATCAGGGTGAACACCTGACCCAAGCTGAGCCACTCAGATTCTCTGTCCTAGGAATTTTGACCTGGGATACCATTGCTTTGGCCTCCATAAGATGTTGGTCTTGGTTGGGTACTAGGATGGGACCATGAGAAGCCAGGGTTGGGCAGAGAGAAGCAGAGATTCAGGATCCCATGGCTTCAGATGGACAGAGCTAATGCTGGTTTCGAAATTCCTAATCCTAGCCAGTGTGCACTCTCGGCGTTGCTACCCTTCCATCACCCACCCCCTTTTGTTGCTTCAGCTAGCTGGGGTGGGTTCTGGGCCTTGCATCGAATGTATCATGAACTGGAAACTAGATACATCGTCTGCTGCTGCCTGGTCGGGGAGTTGTCTCCTTTTGCCTCTCTCTGCCTCACCTTTCTTTCTTTTTTGAGCCCACGTCCCGAAGGATGATTTGCAGGAAGGAGTCATTTTCCAGTGGATGGTCCCAGAGGGGCCAGATTAGGGTCTGTGGGGAGCACAGAGAGGTCAGCCCCTTCCCCTGCCCTCCCCATCCCATCCTTCTAGGAAATGAAGAATGATGTGGGGAGTGGGCTGGCACCGTGTGTCTCTAAAACTGGGGAGCCTCCCTCGTATCTGATTTCCCAAGGGGTGGTGCTCATTACCTTTCAGCCAGGTGTGGGCATCCTACCTGGACTTCTGAGGCGTGGCCTGGAGTATTGTGGACGTGTTAGGAGTTAAGGGGTTTGGGGAATGGGAGTAAGGGTGGCAGAGGAGATGGGATCCTGCCCAGGGAGTTTTGTCTCTGCTTCTGGCACTTAGGAACATCGGGTTGGCTTGGTTAGATTCGTTGATGGGCCACAGCGTGGTGCATCCCCAGAGGGGGAGAAGGGCCAAGAAGAGTTGTGGGCAGATGTGACCTTCACAGCTTTGTCTGATTGGCAGCTACCGCCAGCCCAGGATGCCCCAGCCTCGTCTTTGGGGCTCCCACCTAGATTCCACCCCTGCCTGCCCCTTGCTGCTGGGATTGCCCTGGGGTCTACCTCATTCCATACGGGGTTATTCCCTTCCTCCATGCGGGTTCTCTTCTTGGCATCTGCAAAGACACCGAGGGACTGGCATTGGTGACAGCAAACACTGCGAGGTCTGGGTTGAGTGGGGTAAAGAGAAGTAAGACACTCTCAACAGACTTTAAGTTTACATTGGGAGGTGTGAGATGGCATCAGTATTTTTCTTTCTTTCGCTAAGCAAAACTTCTTGCTTTTTATCATCCTATGACAGATAACATTGGGTGTTCATTTCACCTTCTTTCTGTGCATAGTTTCTAGAATTTTGTAGCCAAGCAGGGCCATGAGACTCAATCTAGCCAATGGGTTATAGGAGCCAGGCCTGACTCCTAAACTCTCCAGTCTCCGTCCCTCTCCCCATAGCTACCCTAGGGACCTGCTGGCAGGGTCGTTCCAGGCGACTACACAGCCATAAGGGGCAGGCAGCTAGACCCTAAACTACTTTGAAGGAGGCGCCCAGGAAGGATGCCCAACCAGAACCTATCCACACAGGACTTGGTGTGAGCAAGAGGCAAACTCTTATTTTAATTCCCTGAGATTTAAAGGTCTATTTATTACAGAGGAAATATCTTAGTATATCATAAGACATCCCAGAACATCTACAATGGTTGAAAGCTCTCCTTTCAGTAAAATCGTCCTCCCCCAGAAATATCTTTAACAGACAACCATCTATAGCCCTGCATTGCCAAGTTACTCTGAGCTTCTCCCCAGGGAAAGAATGTGTGTTTGTGTGCCTAAGGGTGGTAGGAAGGGGGTTATGGGGGTTTAAGGTATTTTGGGGAAGAGACTGGAAAGGAAGAGGACAAAGGAATTAAAAAATATCAAATATAAACAAGTAATCACAAAGATTTGTGAGTATACTGTGGGTAAACCATAGAGTTCTGGGTTTTAGGTATCTTTTTATTTTATTTTATTTTATTTATTTTATTTTATTTTTTTGCTATAGGGTATGTGCACTCACCAGAAAGACAGGGAGAGACAGAAAGCAAGAAATCGCCCCCCAGCAGGGATGACCACGCCACAATCCCTTCTCCTCCGTTTTCCTCTTGGGATCTTGGGCACACATGCATACGCACCCGGTGTAAATTTAAGCCACCGGGTCCGGGATTTGAACCGTGGTCGACTACATGGGAGTCCAGTGACATAGCCATTATGCTAACTGCTGGTCCCTAGATACCTTTTTTAAGTTTTACCTTTTTTTAGCATTCATTATTGTTTATATTTAATCACTGTATATCTTTACAGTGTACATTTTCCCCAGCATGAGTATAGTGCGTATTAGTCAGGTCAAAGACAGTGCCATTAAGTTATCATCAGCAGATAACTTTTCATCTTTGTGTCTGTTAAACGTGCTGTTTGTTTTTCCCTGATCCCCTCCTCCCCCTTGTCCTGTCTCTAGTATCTACAGTCGTCCTTGCTGCCATTATACCTTCTAAGCTTTCAGTTTCTGTTACAGAGAGCGCAGGCAATCGGTATATATTGAGCAGGGACATACAATGCTTCTCTTTCAGCGTCTAGCTTGCTTCACGTAGCATTAAATTTTCCATATTTGTTTACTTTGTGTCAAATGTCAAGGTCCCATTGTTTTGTATGGGTGAATAATATTCCATAGAGTACACGTGTCACATTTTTTAGTTGCAGGAAGGAGTCATTTTCCAGTGGATGGTCCCAGAGGGGCCAGATTAGGGTCTGTGGGGAGCACAGAGAGGTCAGCCCCTTCCCCTGCCCTCCCCATCCCATCCTTCTAGGAAATGAAGAATGATGTGGGGAGTGGGCTGGCACCGTGTGTCTCTAAAACTGGGGAGCCTCCCTCGTATCTGATTTCCCAAGGGGTGGTGCTCATTACCTTTCAGCCAGGTGTGGGCATCCTACCTGGACTTCTGAGGCGTGGCCTGGAGTATTGTGGACGTGTTAGGAGTTAAGGGGTTTGGGGAATGGGAGTAAGGGTGGCAGAGGAGATGGGATCCTGCCCAGGGAGTTTTGTCTCTGCTTCTGGCACTTAGGAACATCGGGTTGGCTTGGTTAGATTCGTTGATGGGCCACAGCGTGGTGCATCCCCAGAGGGGGAGAAGGGCCAAGAAGAGTTGTGGGCAGATGTGACCTTCACAGCTTTGTCTGATTGGCAGCTACCGCCAGCCCAGGATGCCCCAGCCTCGTCTTTGGGGCTCCCACCTAGATTCCACCCCTGCCTGCCCCTTGCTGCTGGGATTGCCCTGGGGTCTACCTCATTCCATACGGGGTTATTCCCTTCCTCCATGCGGGTTCTCTTCTTGGCATCTGCAAAGACACCGAGGGACTGGCATTGGTGACAGCAAACACTGCGAGGTCTGGGTTGAGTGGGGTAAAGAGAAGTAAGACACTCTCAACAGACTTTAAGTTTACATTGGGAGGTGTGAGATGGCATCAGTATTTTTCTTTCTTTCGCTAAGCAAAACTTCTTGCTTTTTATCATCCTATGACAGATAACATTGGGTGTTCATTTCACCTTCTTTCTGTGCATAGTTTCTAGAATTTTGTAGCCAAGCAGGGCCATGAGACTCAATCTAGCCAATGGGTTATAGGAGCCAGGCCTGACTCCTAAACTCTCCAGTCTCCGTCCCTCTCCCCATAGCTACCCTAGGGACCTGCTGGCAGGGTCGTTCCAGGCGACTACACAGCCATAAGGGGCAGGCAGCTAGACCCTAAACTACTTTGAAGGAGGCGCCCAGGAAGGATGCCCAACCAGAACCTATCCACACAGGACTTGGTGTGAGCAAGAGGCAAACTCTTATTTTAATTCCCTGAGATTTAAAGGTCTATTTATTACAGAGGAAATATCTTAGTATATCATAAGACATCCCAGAACATCTACAATGGTTGAAAGCTCTCCTTTCAGTAAAATCGTCCTCCCCCAGAAATATCTTTAACAGACAACCATCTATAGCCCTGCATTGCCAAGTTACTCTGAGCTTCTCCCCAGGGAAAGAATGTGTGTTTGTGTGCCTAAGGGTGGTAGGAAGGGGGTTATGGGGGTTTAAGGTATTTTGGGGAAGAGACTGGAAAGGAAGAGGACAAAGGAATTAAAAAATATCAAATATAAACAAGTAATCACAAAGATTTGTGAGTATACTGTGGGTAAACCATAGAGTTCTGGGTTTTAGGTATCTTTTTATTTTATTTTATTTTATTTATTTTATTTTATTTTTTTGCTATAGGGTATGTGCACTCACCAGAAAGACAGGGAGAGACAGAAAGCAAGAAATCGCCCCCCAGCAGGGATGACCACGCCACAATCCCTTCTCCTCCGTTTTCCTCTTGGGATCTTGGGCACACATGCATACGCACCCGGTGTAAATTTAAGCCACCGGGTCCGGGATTTGAACCGTGGTCGACTACATGGGAGTCCAGTGACATAGCCATTATGCTAACTGCTGGTCCCTAGATACCTTTTTTAAGTTTTACCTTTTTTTAGCATTCATTATTGTTTATATTTAATCACTGTATATCTTTACAGTGTACATTTTCCCCAGCATGAGTATAGTGCGTATTAGTCAGGTCAAAGACAGTGCCATTAAGTTATCATCAGCAGATAACTTTTCATCTTTGTGTCTGTTAAACGTGCTGTTTGTTTTTCCCTGATCCCCTCCTCCCCCTTGTCCTGTCTCTAGTATCTACAGTCGTCCTTGCTGCCATTATACCTTCTAAGCTTTCAGTTTCTGTTACAGAGAGCGCAGGCAATCGGTATATATTGAGCAGGGACATACAATGCTTCTCTTTCAGCGTCTAGCTTGCTTCACGTAGCATTAAATTTTCCATATTTGTTTACTTTGTGTCAAATGTCAAGGTCCCATTGTTTTGTATGGGTGAATAATATTCCATAGAGTACACGTGTCACATTTTTTCAATCCAAGTTGTACATTACTTTTTATTTCACAATTGAGAGTGTATATGAGAGAGTACAAACCTTGTTGTGCTGCAATCCTCTTTTCCTAGCCTTCCTGCTCATCAGCGTGAACACATGTGCCAACCCAGGGATTCTAACCAGCTGTCAGCCATGTGGCTTCCAGCATTGCAGTTCCGCTTGCTATGGACTGTGCCAATAGGCCAGGCTATTTTGGGCACCTTTTAAGAGACATTTTTTTTTTTTAAATAATTTGCCAGAGGACACATATGCTTGTGGGTCGGATAGGGGAGAGAGAGAGAAAAGGAAAGTGAGAAAGCAACTCCCCCCCAACTTTCAGTAGGAAAGATCATGCTGTAATCCCTTTTCCTCCATTCTTTTGGAACTTCAGGCATGCACACGCACACACCCAGCGTGTTTCTCAGGCTACAGAGTTTGGGATTGGAACCGCACTGTCAGCCATGTGGGATCTAGCCACCCTGACCACTAAACCACAGGCTGACCTATAAGAGATGTTTCTAGGAGAAAGGTGGTGTCCACTAGCTGGTAGAAAGATGACTTGGAATCAGCCTGGCTAACCCCTGAAATTTGTCCATGAGGGCCAATGCATACTGAACTTCCACTACACGCTCCACTCCCCACCCCCCGCCCCTTTTTAAAATTTGCTGTAGGGTACATGTGTTCACTGGAAAGACAGAGGGGGGGAAATAAGAAAGCACCTCCCAGGAGAGATGGCTATGCCCCAATCCCTTCTCCTCCATTTTCCTCTTGGGACTTTGGGCACATATGTACATGTCTCAGCATGGTGTTCAAGCTCCCAGGTCTGGGACTCACACTCTGGAGCCAGCCATGTGGGATCCCACATAGTTAACCATAGTTCAAGTCCTGGACCCAGCGGCTTAAACTCACACCTGGCATGTGTGCATGTATGTCCAAGATCCCGAGAAGAGAATGGAGGAGAAAGGATTGCAGTATAGTCATCCCCCCGGGGGGTGAGTTCTCGCTTTCTGTCTCTCTGTCTTTCCAGTGAGTGCATGTGACCTATAGCAAAAAACCCTCTTTAAAAAAAAAAAAAAAGAAATGAAAAATCACAACAAATATTGATAAATACATAGTTTTAAAAAATGAGAGAGAAATAGTAACATTAAATTTTGATAATTTTTGAAAATATTTTGTCAGAAGGTACATGTGCTCATCAGGGAGCGACAGGAAGATGCAGACAGTGAGGGCAAAAGCACCTGCAATGGGGCACGGTCACATCGCAATCCCATCTCCATTTCTCTGCCCCATCAGGGTTTGGGGCATGTACGCACATGCACTCTGCATGTTTCTCAAGCTGCTAGATCCAGGACTTGAACCGTGATAGCGGCCACGTGGGACTGCCCTGCCTCCATCGCTAGACCCTGGAGCTGGCCTGATGACTTTTGCAAGACCTGGGCAGTGTCTGCTTCATCACTGTGTCCCACAGGGCACCTTTTATGTAACTCCAGTTCCTCTGAGTGCGTGTTCCGTCTTGGGGCTCCTCCCTCCTGTCTGGATGGGGGCTCTCACCTCTGAAGTAGACGGTCATGCAGGGTCTGGGTGGGGGGGTTATGGGTGGGATGATCCGGGCTGACTCCACCACGAGCCGAAGCATCTCTCAGACCTGCTTTCTCCCCTCTTCCTTCTGCAGTGCCACAGCGTCCTTCTTGGAGCTCCTTGGTCTGGTCCAAGGCTTCTCCCAGAGTGAAGGCCAGGAGGAGCGGAGTCCCCCATCTGTTGCTTAGCAACAGGAGAGCTGTCACAAAGGTGAGTGTTTCTTGGTTCTGGAGAGAACAGAGGGGAATGAGGAAGTAACCAAGTATAAAGCAAGTGGCCTGAGGGGACTGCGCCTATGGAAACAGACCGGTCCAGCTGCTTTGCATTTCCTTTTTTCTTTCTCTTATTCTTGTTCTTTTGATCTCAAGATCAGGCTAATGCAATGTTTTCTCTTTATATGAGCAAGTCATCTGGGGCCAAACATTATCAAAGTCACAGAATTCAGATAGGAAAATAAGAGAAGTAGGGTGATCCTAGAAAAGATAAAGAGAAATCAAGGAACTAGAAACATCAGTTTCCACGAGAACTCAGGGGAAGTCCTTTCTAATGTGGAAACAGAACTATTCTTTTTTTTTTTTCAAGGGAGATTTTTGCTATAGAGCATGTGTGCTCACCAGAAAGACAGAGAGAGAGAG